TGTGCTCTTCCGATCTCCCCAAAACCCCAAAACCCCAAAAATGATATATTTTAAATTATAGAAGAATTGAAAGTATTAATAATAAAATTAACTTGCATAGCAATGAAAAATGCAAACAATTAGTTTAATCAGCCAAGTAATAATAACTAAAGAGCTAATTGGAAGACACCAAGTTAGAGAGACTAACTACTTGAATAATACGTGGCTATTATTAACCCATAAATGGCAGAGGATCAGAAAAAGCTGCTAGCTCAGGCATTCCCGATTGAAGCAGATTTAAATATATTTCAAAGTGGGGTTAAGTAAGTTGGAAGAACTGAGATACTTGCAAACGATACAAATTTTCTTAACAAATTTTATCAGTTCATTGAAGATTCAAACTACATGAGAATTAATAATTTACCTACTGACATTAAAATCGCTATTCAGCTGCTACTATGCGAGAGGTCATATTTGATTCAGCTAGTGAAAGGCTTAATAATGAAAATTCTGCCTAGGGACAAACCCAAAATCTATAATGATCCATTTTTAGAGTCGGAGTTCCTGAAATTAGATAAGAAAAGAGACTTGACTCCATAAAATGAGCCTGCTAGAATTAATGATGCTAGTAATAAAACATTCTAGTCTCCAATCAATAACAAACAGAGAAATGTCAATTAGAAAAGGTAGCCTAATCTACACTAGAATGACAACAACCATCAACAGTAAAACATGGTGATTGAAGATTTAGTTATAGGTGCCACCAATCTAATAGGGGCTCTGGGTAAAAAACTTATATCTCCTAGTTCTTTGACTAGACTCAACTAGTTAAAGGGTCAGAATTTGGACAGAATTCAGAATCATGACAATCGTGTGGTGTATTTGAGAATTCCTCCGTCTGATGAAAAGACAGCGACTTAGAATTAGAACAAAAGCCCTGCTCTCACATCAAATAGAAATATAATAAATTAGTTCGATAATATGTTTATGCGTAAGGAAGAAGTACTTCTGAAAATAGACACTTAATCAGATGATGATGAAAGCGTTGACGTGCCCTCTAGTAGCAGTAGTGATGAGAAAGCTAATCGAGTTGATAATAAGAATAAGATATAAACTTAAAAGATGCCTATTAAGGGAGTTGCAAATATAGTACAGAACAAGATTAATCCATCAGGCAATAGTAAAAATCATCATAGTAGCAAGAGCACAACTAACAATAATGTCAACTTTAAATAGACTGCTAATGATTCAAATTTTAATACGAACAATTTTAATAATAATATTCAGACAAAAAGAGGTAATAATCCACTATAATTGATAACACCGTAAATGAACTACACCAATCAGCAAGACACCTCATAAATTTCACATATTACTTAAAACCACAGTAAATAGCCAAGTCATAACTCTAAAAAGAGTGTGAGCTAGAACAGATACCAAAATAACAACATTGAGGAAAGTGACGATCAAGAGGAGATTAAGTAATAACCATTAAAGTATGGAAGTGTAATCAATCAAACCAATGATCAAAATGATTATTTCTAAATTGAATAGAATAAAAATCTAGTGCCAATAGAAGACTTTATAAAAATGCTTTAATCAACAGAGACTGCTAGGCAAAGCAAAATGCATATAAGTTAGTTAAATAACAGAGTGGATGATAGCCAAAGTACTGTGATGAAATAAAGCGATAACTTCCCTAGAGGTATGAGTATGGTTAAAGGATCTATTGCTAATGTGAATAAATCTGGAATTAGAATGAAAGATACCTTCAGCAAACTCCACAGAGATTTTAGCATAGGCTCTTCGGATTCTGATAATGATAAGGATAACTCTGCCTTAGACCCTGAGGAACGTAATCGTCGTAGGAGTATTGGCATTAAAATGCTGATGAGCAGAGAGTCATCATTCGGAGTAGTCGGATTCAAGAGCGAAGATTACACTATGAATTAATCCAGTAACTAAAATAATAGTACAAATTAGAAGAGTCTAGCTGATGATTCGGATTATAACAATTAGTTATAGTAGATTAACCAATAAAGAAGGAAATATGGAGTAGACCCTGATAGCGAAGATGATTACTAGGATATAAAATTCAAAGTAAAAAAACGAAAAGATAATAACAATAATTAAACTAATGCCAATACGAATATCAATGCTAATAGCAATATTCCTAAGACCAGCAGTAAGGGAATAAATGGCTTTAATAACATGTAGAGTAGCGTCAGTCATATGAAATAAATCACAAAGCCAAATAATATAGATGATGAGTATTACTCTAATTCAAATGGAAAAGAGAAAAATAAAAACACTATAAGAATGTCTAAGCATGTGCAATCTACAAATGACTCGCAAGCTAACTCATCATCTCGAAGAGGAGATTAAAATAACAACTCTATGTTTAAGTCTGAATTTGATCTGAAATAACTGTAGAATATTAATAAAAATAAGAATATAAATCGAAATTATCTGAATGGTTCGCAGGCCTAGTCTACTAATAGGAGCGTCAAATGGGGAGATAATATTTTTTCTTGAAATTTATTCATTATTTATATTTAACTTATCATTTTTCAAAATTCATTCAACCTCAAATTCAATCCTCACGGGGTTTTGGGGTTTTGGGGTTTTGGGG